TGGATAATGATGCTTCGCCATGCCGTGTTACAAGTAACTCTTGCAACAAAGAGAAGGCTTTCCACAGTAAAATTCATCACATAGGAGGTATATCTATTAAGGGACAAATATGATAGAGGTAGGAAGTTTACACATTGGATCCTTTTTTCAAATGTTATTTTTTTAACAAGGAATATTCAAAGTCCCATAGCCCCTCCCCACGCCAGGGGACTGTTCCCTCAGCTCCCAGTGCGAGGAACTCACGCATACGCTTGTGCCTGTGGCTTTTCTGCCCTGCTTCGTCAGTATTTTCCCTGGCTTCTCTCTGCCTTCCTGGCCCTTTTGCCACTCCTTCACAAATGCACACACAAAGCATCACAAAATAATAGCCAGCAAAATGTCAAAACCCACAAGTGTCTTGGCTGTAGGCTGCTATCATTTCAACTTGCTGGTTTCTTAATGATCTTAATTTTCTCAGAAACGTTTGACAGAGAGTGGCGTTTCTGTTCAACTGCAAAATAAAAGCTTCTGATATATTGGACCCTGCCACTTTCACCTCACCTCATTATTCCTTTTCCAATCTCTTAAAAAGGGTGAGTTCTGATATAGGACCCTGCCACTTTCACCTCACCTCATTATTCCTTCTTTTTCCAATCTCTTAAAAAGGGTGAGCTTAACCGGCCAGAACCAGCCGTAGCCTTGTGATGGCTGGCGAAGAGTGGTTCGGCAATCCACAAGTGGCACATTGAAGATGGGAAGAGCTTTCTTTCCCCGTTCTTTTCCTCGCTTCCTCTGCTCGGCTTTGCATGAGTGAAGAAGGAACAAGACTGAACTTTCTCAGCTGAAGCTGAAATCTAGCACCTAAATCTGACTTCTTTGCCCTGAATAAGTGCATTTTCACCTAGGGCGTTTTTGCAAGCAGAGTGAACAGAACAAGCCCTCTAAATGACTCAAAAGCAAATTAATACAATGCAAGGAGAAAAAGCGAAGGGCAAGTTGTGTGTTCAAACATGCTGACACTTGTATGGCCGCTGTCCCACTCATTAGCCTTTTCCCTTTCTTCTTCCTTTAACCTTGATATTTACTTTCCTTAGGATGTTTAATAAGGATGCCACAAACTGACTGCTTAGTGCCACAACTATGCTGACAAAATCCTTCAAGCCTGTGATTAACTCTACTGGAATAGAAGAGCTGACAAATTTACTGCAGTGTTACTATGGAATAAGCTATGGCAACAAAACACTCATATTGGTATGGTTACTTCCACAGGCTTTTAAAATAGCAATAGTCACTCTCAAAAAAAACAACCAACAAAAAAACAAAGAAGCAAAACCCCTCCAAAGCCCTAGGTCTGTTGGAAAAATCTCTGTTTAGACACAGGCCCCAGCAATCTCCAACAAAAGTTACAGTTATTTATGTGGCATTGGAAAAACAAACAGCAACACAGACTCCTCGCAGAGTTATCATAACAGCCTCTTCTAAGGTAGCCTCTTCTAAGTACTTCATGTTGCAAACAGAGAAATTGGACAGATTAAACAGTAAGATCATGTTACAATTTGTTACGTACAGTATCTTTATTTCATTTCTGAGATTGTTATAAAAACAATATAACATTCATTCTTTCATTTAACAAAGACATCCTTCCCACAGTCATGCTGCACAATCTCTTCAAGAAATGAAACAGAAGCTTTGCACTCATGTCACAAAAATATTGTGAATAAAAATATGATTTTGTATTTTACAACATGTCTAATTTGGAGCCTTGAGCAAACTGGCAACACCATTTCATCCTAGAAACATGGGTAAAATCAAGAAACTAGTCTACATAAGATACCGCATGTTAACATCCATCACATGCAGACTCCGGTTGCTCTTCAGAAAATAAAACACCATCCTCCCTGAGCTGTCTTTGCAGCCTGAGTATGGAGTCCCTTCTGCTCAAAGTCCTTGCTGCTGTCAGCATTTCTGCTCTAGATGCACAGATGGTGACGGGGAAGTGCCAGATCATCACTCACACGTGGGTATCGAACAGAAGAAGTGCCCCACGGCCCACAGCCTGATGGCAGGAGGTGATTACCACATCAGTTTGCATGAGCACACCGCAATTCTCCTTGGACAGGTACCTAATCTCTGCCTATTCAAGGGCTTTTTTGTTGTTAGTGGAGGGTGATTTTTTTCAAGAAGATTGACAAGAAACTTGCACTGGCCCCTGATTACATAAAATGAAGCAGATTCCCGAGGCAAAACCATACCATTATCTCCATCAGACCAGCCTGTATTTTCCCTGGCCCATCATTGTGCAATTCAGTCGCCAAGAGCTATGCATTGCCGTGCACAGGCAGCACCGCAGGCAGAGAGCTTAGGAGAAGACTTTGGCAACTGCTGTGCTCAGCTCGAGCTCATCGCTGCTCTGCAGTGATATTTAAAAACTCTTCTGAAGGGAAGAGCGCCCAAGGCTGCGTTATTTCTATGGGCCACGGCACCATGAGTGGATGCGATCATACAGCTTCATAGCAACAAATCCCAATTTACCTACAAATTAGATATCCAGCTGGTGCCATCTGCCTGTCGGTGGTTACATATCACCCAGCCTCTATGGGAAGAGCCTGCAGCATCTCCTCTGTGCTCGGACTGCTGTTTCACACATTGCGCTGTGGCTGGGCCATTAAATACCACAGGGCAGCAACTCGCTGGATGGTTAATGGTTAGTGAAGTGTCAGGACGGGCTGGCGCCCACCGGCATGGTACCCGTGCTCTTCTGGACTTGCCCTGCCCAGGCCCCCCGAACACCCTCAAACCCAGGGGAGGCATGCACACCGGGCTTCTCAGAGAAATCAGGCCCAGACTTTTTTTGTTTTACCAACAGCAAAATAATTATAAGATACATACATGCACACACATAACATACAAGTCAGGCATGACCTGGCTACAGTTTGTATTAAATGAATGTCACTTTTTGTTATGTGCTGTGAAGGCATCTGACTACTGGAGTAATGTATTGCAAGGTGATTCATTGCCATGCCATGGAAAAAGCCATTTGGCATTTCATACATTTAGGGAGAGCTATTTCTTTGCAATCCACACTGCACCAGGCACCAATGCATAAATAAACAGCAGTTTAAAATTTGCTCTTCTTCTGCAAGTCCTATCAGGCTATAGATAATTTTTATATCTATTTTTAATACTTCATCACTTACCCTGAATTTTTCACCTTAATCTTGATACCAAAATATACATTAGTGCAAAGAGAGACCATTTTAAGACTGGAACTAGAGGACAAATATATTAATCATTATGATAAAATACTAATTCTTTTCTATTTCTATAGATTATTTAAGAAAAAATATAATCTTAGGTTACAAATGAAAATCATATTTCATATGCAAGTTTTAATTTACAGTATAGAATCACAGAATCATAGAGTATTCAGGTTGAAAGGAACCCTGGGAGGTCATTTAGTCATCTACTAGTCATCTAGTAGATAAACATCACATTTAATACAGCATAATCAGCTTTAGTAGACAAATAATTCTTAATTAACACAGAGCACATTTCCTTTAAAATATTCTTTCCAGTGACTGACATTATTCACATAGCAATAAAAATACAATTACAGCTGAAGGCGATGTAGGCCTAGAGTTAGAGAGCGGAGAAAAATGACCTCACTGCTTTATACCGAGGACACTCCTAATGTAGTGATTCACAAGGCAGGCAAAATAACAGGGTTTTTTTCTGTTCTCTCTCTGTTCCTACCAATAAACAATGTTGCTAATATTTTGCTAATTTATCTTGCTGAGAGAAAAATGAGAGGCCCACAGACGTTCAGTAGTACTTTGGGATGAAATGCTGCCAGGGCCAGATCCAGTTGCTCAAAGGAGACCCTCCACCCAACCTGGAAAAGGCTTGGAGCAACAGCTCCAAGATCTCAGATCCTGGCAAAAGCAGCAATAAAGTGCTGAATTATTACACCAAAATGCTGGGTTTTAAAGTCTGCACACTCAACACAAATGGTATGCAGAGACCATCTTACTAAATTACCCACAATTTTCCATCAGGTAAGTAGCCAGGCAGCAGCGAAGTGCCAGCTGTGTGCAACTTGCTGCAAGAAGTGCAGAAACGGGGTGCCCCAGCCCTGCCATGTCCTTGGGTACAGGGCACAGGGTCAGGCACAGAGTTTTCTGACAACTGAGGCAGCAAGGACATCCCAGTTCCTGCTCTCTGCTTTTTTATTGAGCAAATGAAAGAGAAGCCCTTTCACCCTTCCCATCTCTTCCCATCAGGTGAAAATTTGACCCCTGCAATCCCTGGCCATGCCCCTGCTGCTTTCCCCACTGAAAAAGACACAGTTCCTTTTAGCTGAAGTTCCCCGATGACATCCTGAAGTCGGATGCAGCCGTCAGCAACCTGAGGAGTAGTTAACTAATTTACCGAGAGCTCTCAGCAGCACAGACTCATGTCCCCCTGTTCTTCCCTCTGCATCTGCTTTAGGAAAGGGTGTGTCCTTTCCCCCAGTGCTGCTTTGTGCAATTCTCCTCTGTCTCCACTCCATCACGTTCCCTGCTCCAGTCAGGTGTTGGCTCTGATCATGCAACATCAGCATTAAACTCTAATTTGGAAAAGTAAACCATTTTGTTTCTCCCCATTCTTCTCTTGGAGAATTCGACATTCAGGCTCTTCCATCACTCCATGTCTTCAAAACATGCTTTTACCTCTCCAACTCAGCAAGGGAAAACCAAGGAGAGGAAAGCATCTGCTCAACAAAAGGTCCCAGGGAAAGTTGTGAGGTAATGCCAACCACAGGAATTAAGGACTGGCCATAAACCAAATGCACTAAACCAGACAAAACGATTTCTGGAAGCCATATGCTAGCAATCTCTTCTCAGTGTCAATGTCCTGCAGTATCAGGCAATGTAAATGCTGTCCTAGTGCTGAAGCAATCATGACATTGTGCGCTCTTATTTCAGATTTCCCAAGGGGATGCAAGAGAAAGGGCAGTGAGTGATGTATTCAGAGGGGCAGCTCTATTTGTACCTTCTGTCTACCCTCTTGGAGTAGTAAGTAATGAAGAAAATAGTAACAATAAAAGCAACAAATATGAAAGAGATAAAGGCTAATAAAGATTTTCCAGTTCGGAAGAAGTGGCATTCAGGACACGAGGCAATCTCTTCTGGGCACAGCAACTCAGGAGTTTCAGGACCAGGAAAACCGTTATTATCAATTATTTCTCTGTAATGTTTCATAGAAGGCTTTGGTTCGTATTGATTTGCAACATAACTGTAGAGACCATAATTAGGAGCAGTCTTGTCATTAAAAGAGTAGACAAAATATCCTTGCAGGTTAACATTATCCAAGGTGTAAGCTGCGAAAGAAAACAATGGGTTGAAGAAATGAATTAATGTCACTTTGGCATTCAAGAGCAGTACCATATGCCAGTACATAAAGCAGGGGCAGGGGGATGTTAAACCCACATGTGCCCTTCTCTTCTCAAAAATAAGGTAGTACATCTATGAAGGGTTTGTCATAAAAAGTCAGAATTTGTCAGCCATTGCCAGACAGTGTGACCTGTGAGTATCCTGCAATTTATTTCCTTGTGCTTGGTAAACACAGCTGTGAGCGCATGACTGTTTAATGATCAGCATGGAGCCTATCATGAAAAGATGGCTCTCTTTTTTATGTATGAAAGAATACAGGTTTTGGTTTTCCTGCACTTGGATTTCTGCAACCTGTTTCTCCGATTGCTCTTTCTCCCTTGCAGAGCACCTCCTGATGGGGACGGCCGAGGAATGGAGGACATCGGGCTAGACTTCTCACTAGCAAAGGCACAGTGACACCAGAAAAAGACACGCCCATGCTAAGGTCATGTACTGGGATATCACCAGCGCAAGTGGAAATGTTATACAGATCATAGTCCTCTCTTGTTATTGACCTAAGTTTCTGATCCAAGATGAGCTGTATTAGTCTTTATTGAGAACATGTCCACAATCCATTCTGCTAACTTGGCTACTGGAAGAGGTCCAGCAGCTGGAGCATTAACCTTGAGCCATCAGTCCCGCTTGACAAAACCAATCAATCCATAGTAGTAAATGCAAACTGTAATACGTTATCTCTCAAAAGCACTATTTTTAACAAATTAAAGCAACATCTTCTAGCAGATGAACACAGGACTGAAAGCTAACAATTGCTGAATTTTCATATGCCTCTGAAAACAATTCTTTCTGCAGCCACACACAAGACATTTAGCACCTCTAACCTACTTTTCATGTGTAAAATGAAATAATATTTAACTGCCTTTTTACAGAGCTGCTACCCAGGATAATTAGTTTGTGTTTGTAAAACCGCATATGGATTTAATGGTGTTACATAAATGGTTATTGCTGTTCTTTGTTTTCAATTGGCAAAGATGTACTTAAACAGTGTACAAAGCACTTAAAAATATAGCCTCAGTCCAAAGGGTCCCATACTGTATTCTGGAATCATTTATCTGCACAAACCTGTTGGCTCCCCTGGAACAATGCAGGTGAGCAACATTACGTGTTGCCACGTGCAGCCCCTGAAACCAGCTGAAGGAAGAAGGCAGAATAGGAACTTTAAGGCAAGAGCACAGATGTACCAAATCCCCTCTCATTCCTCTCCAGCGTGACACTGAGGTAAGGACACAGTATCTGTAGTTCATCTCAGTTACTGCACAGGGTCTTGCAGAAAAAAGGCAAGTTTTGGAGAAACCTGAATCCGTCATGATGCCAAGGTTAAGAGCTTGCTCCCTGTGTAAGGACAAGATGGACAAAAGCACAATACCAGAGCGGGAGAAGAAGAGAGAATGAAAAAGCTGGTATTACTGATGGACCAAACACTATGGAGGAGTGTATGATGTCAAAAGTGGGAGAGTGAGCTTTAGGACAGGTATTATGGCTAGTTAGCAGGGACATACTCACCTATGACAAAGAAGGTGGAAAGATAGGAAAATATGGCTTACATGTGATGGTTAAGTTGAAAAACATAGGAGCTATTTCCAGGCTGGATAGAAGAGGGGAGAAGGAAGTGATTGGGGGATACTGGTACCAGATCAGTACAAATGACAAAGTTCTGTCAAAAACAGGGGGATGTGCAGGTGCTCTGGCTAACAGGAACTGGCAGAAAAGCCCATATCCATACACACTTTGAAAACAGAAGTGCCACGAACTGGTACCGTCTAAAGTGGTAGAAAGGAGAGAAGCAATACAGAAAAAACAGATTGAAACCATATGCCCAAATACAGCCAAGATACAGTTTTTTAACTACAGATGCAGAAAACATGCAGCCAGTGCTTCAAAATGCTGGAGAAGGAACCCTTGGACACTTAATATTGATGTTCAGTAATTCATGAAAGAGGTGGAAATTACAGAGGAGGAAGTTAAAGCCAGTATTAACAGGATGACCTAGCAAATTATGGAATTGCCACCCATCCTTCACCACCTAGCAAAAGAGTGGAATAGATTACATAAGGCTTGATAAATAAGAATTACAGGAGATATATATACGATTAATGCCAATCAGCTTAGCTTTATGAATAATAAATCTTGTCAAACTAACTTGACATCTATTTTATGAGATCAGCAGATCAATAAAAGTAATGATGTTTGATGTAATATACTTACAACTTCACAAGGCAGCTGACTTGGGATTATTTGGCATTTGAATCAAGAAAATAGAATTTTACGAGGTCAAGGGGATCCCATAATAAACAGATTTCAACTGGTCTCAAATAGAACTAGTAAGTCTAGAAATGTAATTGCAGGTAAGTAAGTGTCACAGTAGGTGTATTTCTACCGTGGTCATGGAGATTGTCTTTTAGCACCAAGATACTTAATTGATCTTAAATGTATCAGCAACCTGAAAGAAAAGTAAAACTATTTCTCACAAAGTTTGCAAATAACACAAAGATTAGGGACATAATTTAGCTAGCGTAGCAAGCTTTGCACAAGCAACTGGCATTTGAACATGACCAAATGTGAGGATGTCAAATTACAAGCAGACCATACTTTGGTAGAGGAAGTTCTGCCTGGGGGGGCCGTAATCTGTAACCGAGTTTGAAATCTCAGTAGATAACCACAGAGTGTGTGCAACTACCTGCTGCCATGGCCAAAAGGGCTAACGGGCTGCTTAGATGTATGAAAGAGTAGTAAAAGGGTAAGAGGTTACATTATATGTGCCTGAGATACAGGTGTGGCTGTGGCAGGAACAGTGTGTCCAGGTCTGGGTTTACCCCTCTCAAGAAGAATGCTGCCAAACGGGAAAAAGTTTAATAATTGAAAGGTTCTAAATTATGTTTTCTAGTAAGAGACACAAAGAGCTTTGTCTGTGCTATTTATCAAAGAGATAAATGAGAGATAGCTTGTTTTCTGTGAATACCTACACACGTAAAATACATGGAAATGCACAACAAAATGGCTTAAAGCTGAAGCTAAAGAAATTAATACTAGAAGTAAGATTTTTATATATATATACACACACATATATATAGAAATAGTAAATAATTAGCCACTGCAACAGCTTACAGTGAGATGTAGAAGATTCTTCATCAGTAAAAATGATCTCATTCGGGTCTTGTGCTTTTCTTAAAAAACAGCGTGTGTTGTACGACAGGATGACTCAAAATGTCTCCTTCTTGCCTTATAATTTACTAATCTTTGAGACAGAGAAAAAGACCAGTTTGGGTTCTGAATAGCAGGAAAGAGTCCAGGAAATGGCATAATGAGGTAGATAGATAGCTGAATTACTATGAAGATCACTGTTGGATAAGATCACTGTGTTGGATAAGATACAGAGACAGCTGAGGAGCAGAACTCATACCCAGCCCTGAGGCACATCAGTGGAGAGAAGCAACAAAGCAAAACAACAGTAGAAGTGCAATAAGAAGAAAATCTGACTAAATAGATGTGGAACTACTCATATAATATCTGCTTAAATTTCTTGAATCCACAAAAATGTTCTTCTGCTGTCTTATGTGGAATATGTGCAAGGTCAGTCTTCCTGATGTTTAGTAACACCAATCAATCGTAAATCAAAGGAAAAACCATCTGTTATAACAGGTAATTTATTATCTGTTATAACAGATAATTTATTTATAACATTTAATTTATGGAATGTTCTACATAGGATTTATTTTTTTAAAGTTAAACATACTCTATCACACAGCGTATACTAATACTGGAATTTGTGACATACAAACCATCTATGGTTCCTTACCTTTTAAAGCTTCATTGATGTAATTCTGTATGTAATACACTCTGAGCTTATCATGCACCATATTCTGGTCATCGTCAATTCCATTAGCCATAACATAAACTGGGACATCGCCATACTTTGATTTAACCCACTTGAGCAATTTACGCAGTCCCCAGGGCACTACTGCAGCTCTGTTGGGGGACTGCAGCCATGTGATGTCATTGATCATTTGAACTTCAAGATAGTGGTCATATTTTAGTGCATCTTCTTTCTCCCAGCCCACAAGGGTAGTAGTGTAGTGACTCAAGGCAAAAAAATCAAATGAGCCCTGGATTAACTTCTTTTCATCTTCTGAGAAATAAGGCAAGTGGAAATTATACAGGTCAACAGCATTTCTTCGGTGAAGCCATGCTCTCATCACCTGTGGATAGTCACCATTCCCAAAGATGGGCTCTGCAAGCCAGCCAATGTCGAACTCTAAAATTCTGTCAGCAACTTCTTGGTCATTCCCAGAGAAGGGACAAGCTGGTTCTACCCAGTCGGCTTGCAGAGCTATAGATATTTTACCCTTTTGAGATCTCCTGAATTCTTTGTCATAAAGATGCCATGCTTTTGCATGGGCTTTCAACAGGTTGTGCCCTGCGGTGTATGTCAAGTTTTTCACAGACGGTTCATTCATTGTGATCCAAAATTTGACATGGTCCCCAAGACTTGTAAAGCAGAATTTGGCATACTCAACAAAAGCCTGAATGGTTTCTGGGTTTTCCCAAGCTCCGTATTTGGCAAGGGAAACTGGAAGCTCTTGATTCTCAGCCATAGGTTGCCATAAAGCAACAACAGGAGTTATGTTAACTCTGAGAAGTTCACTAGCAAAACACTGATAATAATGTACAAGTGTGTGGTTGATTAGAGAAAGGTTACCTAAAGGAAGGATTAGAGACCATTTCAGTGAAAAATGAAAGTGTGTGACATGCATTTCTTGCAGAAGAGAGACCTGGAGCCTGATAGCAGCAAAGTCAACACAGTGACGCTTGCGTTTCGAGGTGAAAACTCCATCCACTTTAATAAGCTGCTTCGTCTGGTGAATGTCCCACACATAAACATTAGAGTCAAGAAACTGGGCGGGTGTCGTGTCTACCTAGGTAGAATAAGAAACATACCAGATTCAAGCTGTTTGTTCTAGGTAGGTGGGAACATCATAACCACCAGGCACAACATAGTGAAAGAATATCGTAAGTCAAAACATTGCATTTAGCACCCCTCTCACATCTCTGATACAGTAACATCTCTGGCTCATATGAATGAATTCATCTTCTGTTAACATGTGATGTCAGAAAAGTACCGAATCCATATATCATTTTCATCCTACTTTCCAAACAAGCTTTTGCTAATGGTCACCATGTTTATGTCTTGGGACAACTGGTTAAGGGATCAGGAGCACAAGTAGTGTTCTCCTCTACCCTTCCGGTTGCAGGGAACGATGAGGGAAGAAACAGGAAGAGCCAGCAGATCAATACCTGGCTCCGAGCCTGGTGTCACCAGCAGAATTTGGGGTTTTTTGATCACGGGTCAGTCTACACAATGCCAGGCCAGCTGGCAACAGACGGGGTACACCTGTCTCAAAGGGGGAAAAGGATCTTTGCACAGGAGTTAGCAGGGCTCATTGAAAGAGCTTTAAACTAGAT